CAGAATTTCGGGAAACGCGTTTTCCAAGAATGTGAATTCCGAATCATTGGAAACGCAATTTCGTTTGAAAAAAAACGCACTCAATGGGCTGGAATTGCGTTTCCTATAATTCCGAAGTATGCGAAGCGCGACTTCCGTTGAAAAACCATGTTCACTGGGCTGGAATTGCGTTTCCTATAACTCGGAATTCGAATTCTCGGAAACTGCGTGCCCCGAAATTCGAAATTCAAATTATGGGAAACGCAATTTGCCTCCAAAAACTGCACTCAATGGGCTGGAAGTGCGTTTCCCATAATTGGATTTCAAAATTTCGGGAAACGCGGTTTCCCAGAATTCGAATTCCGAATTGTGGGAAAGGCAATTTCCATTGACAAGCTGTACTCAATTAGCTGGAATTGCGTTTCCCATAATTCCGAATCATGGGAAACGCAATTTTCTTGAAAAACTATACTCGGTGGGCTGGAATTGCGTTTCCCATAATGCGGAAGTCGAATTCTGGGAAACTGCGTTTCCCGAAATTCGGAATTCGAGTTATGGGAAGCGCAAGTTGCTTTGAAAAGCGGCAATCAGTGGGCTGGAAGTGCGTTTCCCATAATGCGAATTCAGAATTTCGGGAAACGCGGTTTACCAGAATTCGAAATCCGAGTTATAGGAGACGCAATTTCTTTTGAAAAACCGCACTCAATGGGCCGGAACTGCGCTTCCCGAGTTGCGGGAAACGCAATTTCCCTTGATAAACAAATCAATGGACTGGAATTGCGTTTCCGATAATTCGGAAGTCGAATTCTGGGAAACTGCGTTTCCCGAAATTCGGAATTCGAATTATGGAAAAGCAAGTCCAGCCCATTGAGTGCGAATTTTCCCAGGAGGTTGCGTTTCCCATAATTCGAAATTCGAATTACGGACAAATCGAGTTTCCCGTGCAATGTGTGCTTGGGGCAATCGTCCGGGATTGCGTTTCCCATAATTTTGTATTATGGGAAACGCAATTCCGGACGACTGCCCCGAAATGGGTGCGATGGGCGCATGCGAACGCTGGCATTTGGGTCTTCGATGGGGATCCCTATGGGGCCACGAGACGCGTGAAAGGTGTGCCGAAATTGGTGCGGCGGGCGTATGCGAACGCTGACACTTGGGTCTTCGATGAGGCTCCCCATGGGGCCACGAAGCGTGTGAGGGATGTGCCAAAGTGGGGGGGGGAAGGGAGGAGGGAGAAGGGGGAGGAGGAGAGAAGTGACGAGGGGCGCTGCCTCTTCAAAACGAAGACCCAACACCACAGGACGGCTGTAAAATACTACAAAGATGCCCACGAATGCTAAAAAATAGTTGTATGTTGAATCGCCCCCTGAGCATCTTTGGACTATTTTTGAAAATTCTTCCTGTAGAGGGACAGGCCCGACTTAATCCGCCGATCTGGCGTGTGAACTACAAGGAGCCTCAGCAAGAGTTTCAGCTCTGAGCCTGAGCAAGAGCTTCAGCTCTGCTCGGGGGGGGTCGCCGGGGTGGCTCTGCCGGGGAAGGGGGGGGAGGGGGGGGAGTCCTCCATCTGGCGTTTTCTTAACGATTTGCGCATCCCCAAAATGTTTCGGGAGGGTACCAGGGAACCCCCCAGGACTCCCCCCGGATCGGCGGCACTGGCCTGAGGCCATTACAATATCATCGCATGGGCCAGAGGCCTCATTCTTGGCATCGTCCTGGGCGGGCCGGTTGGCCCCACGCGGCGCAGGTCCCGAGGCGGCGGGCCCCTCTGTGGCCCAACCCCGGGGGCGCCGGGCCCCCCCCCCTCTGCGTGCGCAGGTCCAGCGGAGCCTTGCGGCGCGGCAGATCGATCCGCGCGAGCGGCGGCATGCTGGAAGCTGCTGCGGGGCCAGGGCAGGCACGGCGGGGCCGTGTACCAGAATGAAATCCACAGTGCCCTGGCGCAGTGGACAGGAACGGATGCCACCACCCCAGACCTGTTGCCGCGGCTCCTGCTTCGGCTCCCGTCACAGCACCTCGTGGATGTGGTCTGGCTGATCATACAAGCCACAGAACCCGAAAACTTCGCTTTGCGGCCGCGGGGCTGGCAGGGCTCGTGCGCCGTGCCCCTCCACAGAGCAGGCACTGGTGATGAACTTGAGACCGTTCGGCTCATCATGGTCAAGTGCCGGCTTGGGCTCCTGCAGGAGTCGCTGCAGCTTGACCACCTGAAGAGCGACGTTGGACGCGCAGCTGCTCCTACACGAGATCTGTGCCCTCGCTATATGGGGAGGGCAGAGTGGTCTGGGCGGTGTCTGGCGACCCGCAGGAAGCCTTCCCCGAGGCCGTGGCGGGGCGGCCCGTTGCGCTCGCTGTCGGGCCACGTCGGCCTCCGGGAAGGGCGCACGCCCTGCTGGGGAAGCATGCTCGAGCGCGATCTCGCGCACGCCAACTTCCACGGCGTGCTCGTGGAGCCGCTCTCCGAGGGCATCGCAGAGGGGGGGGCACGCCGGGGCCAACCGCTCCTCCCATGCTGCGTGGGCGAGCCGGCAGGTCCTCTCCTCGCCCACGGGGGGCACGGGGTGGGCGTGGGAGCTGCAGTGCCGGCGGCGTGGGCGGGCAGGCAGCGGCTGAGGGGGGCAGGCGGCCCCCTCTCCGCGTGGAGCCAGGGGTTGGCGGTCGCTCTGCGCCTGGGGCGCCCACTCCCGCCGACGGCCTTCCTGGATGCGGATGCGGCTCTGGAGGCTTCTGATGCTCCAGCCTACCTTCTAGCCTGGATCACCAGGAAGAACTTCGAGCACCACGACGGTACCGAAACTTGGGGGCTTTCACGTGTCGGGCCCTGGGAGGCGATACTCGTTCGACACTGTTTCGATACTTCTCTGGGTGCTCGAGATGATTTCTGGGATGTGGTCCCTAAGTGCGATGGGAGCCACATAACTGGAGGCTTCGGCCTTGCGACCACTTGATCAGATCGCCCCCAAACGCGCTGCGGCGGTGCTACAGGCTGATGACCCAATGCTGTGGGCCTCCAGCCGAGGGGCACCTCAGGCCCTGCTAGTCGATCTAGCCGGGCGGGCCTTCCGACACAATGAACGGGCCCTGGGACACACACACACACAACAAATAGACACAAAGAAAAGGATCCACCACATTTCCCCATCTCTTCTGGGTTCTTGCCTTCCCCCCCCCCACACTCCCCATCGTTTCCCGCATCTTCTTGGGAATCGACGAGTCATTGTGTCTGTGCGTTTTTTGGGACGCACATGGACATACAAATACTATATGTCCTCAACTGTTCGTCGAAGAACGAACCTCCTGCAAGGGGGGACGCGCCCGACACAGCGTGACACGGCCGGGCCTCCCGTGGCGTGGGTTGGCGGCGCGCAAAAGGGGGTAGGGGGAGGGGGGATGGCTTCTTAGAAGCACCCTGCTTCTTAGAAGGCCTCGGCCTTGCGTCTATAGAGAAGGCCCGCGCCTTCTAAGAAGCAGGGGTGCCTCTAAGAAGCCTTCCCCCCTCCCCCTACCCCCTTTTGCGCGCCGCCAAGTGGGGGCCCCGCCGCGGCGGCCCTCCGTGGCCGGCGCCTCGGAGCCCCGCCCTCCCGGGCGGCGTCTCCCGCAGGCCTCGCCGCCGGGCGCGGCCTCCCGCCCGCCGCCGCGGAGGCCCGCGGCGAGGCGCCAGCCGAGGGCGGCCTCCGCTGCGGGCGGCGGCCCGAGGGCGGTGGACGAGCCCAGCCAGCGGTGCCTCGGGCCGGGCGAGAGGGGGGGAGAGCAAAGGGGGGGGGGTTGAGAACCAGCTCACGCAGCTGATTTTCCCGGCGCCTCATGGAGCCGGAGGCGGCCGTGTATCGAGGAATGGGCCCCTCGGTGAGGCCGAAACCAGCTGCATGCAGCAAATTTCGTAACCCCCCCTTTCCCAATCCCCCCCTTTCGCCCAGCCAGCGGTGCCGCGCACGGCGCGTCCCGCGAGCGTTGGGCGCAGCTCCTCCTGAGCCTCCCGCCCCGGCGCGGCCAGGCTGCTGGGGGCTAATCGTCTGGGCTGTGTGCGGCGTGGAGCGGGCACTGCTGTCGTGGAAGCAGCAGCCCGGCGAGCATCGCTCGGGGCCCTCCTGGACACAGACCGCTACAGGGAGGTCTTCCTTCTGGTCGTCATCGTCATCAGCATCATTATCATCGCCAAAATCATCATCATCAGCATAGTCCTCCTCCTCCTCCTCCTCCTCCTCCTCCTCCTCATCCGCATCATCATCATCATCATCATCATCATCATCATCATCATCATCATCATCATCATCATCATCATCATCATCATCAGCATCAGTATCACCATCCCCATCCCCCTGCCCCTCCTACTCGTCGTAATCATCTTCATCGGCAGCAGCAGCAGCAGCAGCCAGCAGCAACACCATCATTATCATTCTCATCGTGTTGATCATGATCATGATCATCATCAGCATCATCAGCAGCAGCAGCAACAGCAGCAGCAGTATCATCAACATAAGCATCATCGTCATGATCATCGTCATCATCATCGACGCCACCATCATCATGATCAGCAGCATCATCGTCATCATCGTCACAATCGTCGTAATCATCATCAGCATCATCATCTGCATCATCGCTATTATCATCATGATCCTCAGCATTACCATCATCATCATCATCATCATCATCATCGTCGTCATCATCATCATCATCATCATCATCATCATCATCATCATCATCATCATCATCATCATCATCATCATCATCATCATCATCATCATCATCATCATCATCATCATCATCATCATCATCATCATCATCATCATCATCATCATCATCATCATCATCATCATCATCATCATCATCATCATCATCATCATCATCGGCAGCATCATCGTCATCATAATCATCATCACGATCATCATCATCATGGTCATCATCATCACCATCATCAGTATCTGCAACATCATCACTGTCATCATCATCATCCTTATATCTATATATAAAAAATGCAACGGGGCGACCGCGGCTGAGGGCTTGCCGGCAGGCAGGGCGGCTAGAACCCCTGCAGCTGCAGGGCGTCGGGCGCCGCCCCGCGCAGCAGCGCGGCGGCCGCCTGCGAGGGGGCAGCCGTGCGCCGCCGTCGTCGTCGCTGGCTTCATCATCGTCGTCGTCGTCGTCGCTGGCTTCATCGTCGTCGTCCTCGTCATTCGAGCCTTCTTCTGAGAAGGCCCGACGCCTCTGCATCCCCCCGCTGAGCGTGCCGCCGATGTTCGTGATCCTCGACCCCTGGCCCCAGATCGTCGACGACGACGACGACGACGACGACGACGACGCGGACGCCAGTATCTACCATTAGGTCGGGCCTGTCCCCCTGCAGGGGGATTTTGGACGAAAAATACAAACCTGTCAAAAGTATCCCAGAAAGGCGCAAAAAGAAGTCAAATAAATCGTCCACATACTATGTTTTAACTATTTTTGAACATTCCTCCTGTAGAGGGACATACCCAACTGAATCCTGGGTCCCGACCACGGGCCCAGGAGGCCGAAGCCGAGGAGAAACGCCCGCGTTGAAAAACTCCTGCCGCCGGAGATTTGGGATCCCCGATCCCCGCGCCCTGTCCACGAGGACGAGCACGCCGACGACAACCGTCGGCGACGGAGAGGCTGCCGACGACGACGAGGACGACAGACGACAGACGACAGACGACGACGACGACGACGACGACGACAACGACGACGACGACGACGACGACGACGACGACGACGACGACGACGACGACGACGACGACGACGACGACTGCTCGCCGGCGTGGCAGTGCGGGCCGCCGCCGCTGACCTCTTGAAGCAGCTGTCGAAGCCTTCTCGGGAGCCACGGAGCGCCTCCCAGGTGACCGGGGGCTGGAAAGGCTTCTCGAAGCCTCGCCGCCGTCTGAGAAGGCCTCCTCCTCCCCCTCCTCCTCCTCCTCCTCCTCCTCCTCCTCCCCCTCCTCCTCCTCCTCCTCCCCCTCCTCCTCCCCTCCTCCCCTCCCCCTCCCTCCCATCCTCCTCCTCCTCCTCCTCCTCCTCCTCCTCATCCTCCTCCTCCTCCTCCTCCCCCTCCTCCCCCTCCTCCCCCTCCTCCTCCACCCTTTGCGCGCCGCCGACAGAAATCCGCCAACCCAGCCGGCGTGTGGAAGACGCTGTTCTGTTTGACTCGACGTCGTCGTCGTCGGCCTTGTCGTCGTCGTCGTCGTCGACGTCGCGTTGGGCCTCCCTTTTCCCTGGGCCCGTCGCCGCTCCCCCCCTCGGCGCGCCGCCGACAAAAATCACGACGGACAGTTCTGACCGTCCTCGGCGCCCTTGGGGGCCATTGCCAGGCCCTGGTGCTTTCAGGGAACAGCTCGGACGGAAAAGCCCCTCGAGGGGAAGGAGTCGAGACCTCTGGAAGAGCGTGTTCTGCGCACATCACTTGTGCAAACAAAATCCGAAACTCCCCCACTCTGAAACCGCCCCCGCCCCTCGAACCCCCCCCCTCCTCTCGGAAACTGGACTCCCTCCCCCTTATTTGTCGAGAACGCCCCCCCCTTCCGAGAGCGTCTTCACGGTGAATGATAGCAGTGCGTTCTACGCAGAGTATCGTACGCAGTGCTTCTACGCAGTGCATTGTTCCCCAATCAGAGCTTGCCTCTGTAGGAGTCCTAGCGGATTCATAAGGTTAGGTGAAATGCGTCGGGGATTTTCCCAGGTGCCCAGGTGCCCGGGTGCCCAGGTGCCCACGGTGCGTCCGGAATTTTCCCGGGTGCCCAGGTCCCCAGGTGCATTATAGCCCTATAGCCCTATAGCCCCATAGCCCTATAGCCCTATAGCCCCATAGCCCTATAGCCCTATAGACCTATAGCCAAATAGGCCTGTAGCCCATAGCACTATAGCCCATAGCACTATAGCCCTATAGCCCTATAGCCCGATCGCCCTATAGCCCTATAGCCCTATAGCCCCATAGCCCTATAGCCCTATGGATCTATAGCCCTGTATCCCAATCGCCCTACAGCCCTGTAGCCCTATAGCCCTATAGCTCTGTAGCCCCATAGCCCTATAGCCTTATAGCCCAATAGCCCTATAGCCCTATATCCCTGTAGCCCTATAACTCTATATGTCTATAGCCCTATAGCCATGTAGCCCAATAGACCTATAGCCTACAAAGATTATGATTGGGGCTTTTCTCCGGTATCATTCGCAGTCTGAACAACGAAGTAATTGCTGTTCCGGTTTAAATTATGATGTGTTTCTTTGTTGCGCAGTGTCGAAACACTGCGTTGCTAACTCTGCGCCCCTGGTTATCCATCTCCTTCTCCACTCTGTCCAGCTCCTGCCAGGCACAAGTAGTATTGTCCTTCTCCTCCCTGTCCTGGCCCTGGAAAGCGCAGCTGCCATGCGCGCGAGAACCTGTCCCTGCCGAGATTACACCCATGCGCGGGATCCCGGCCGCCGCGGGTTTACACGCTCACCTCGGCGCTGGGAGCGATTGCTTCTCACGTGGTAGAGCCGCAAGCTTGCAGTGCCACACTGTGCCTGCACCAGAGGCGCAAGCAAAAAAACACGGAGACACTGCGGCGTGGATGAAGGCTGCCAGGAAAAGCGCCCGTTACAAATGTAGAGACCCCTCCAGTGGATCCGCTCACCCTCCCCTTTCTCTTCTTCCTCCTCCTCCTCCTCCTCCTCCTCCTGCTCCTGCTCCTGCTCCTGCGCCTCCTCCTCATCCTCCTTCTCCTGACGACAACCAAGATCTGCTCAGCGTGCATCCACAGATCCCTGCCAGGATCAATCCTGAACAATTTTTCGACACGTCCAGCCGTGGCAGCAAGAACCTGAACGCACAAAAACCTCCAAAACAACAAAGACGGCGGCGGCGGCGGTGGCGGCAGCGGCGGCGACGACGACGACGACGACGATTACGACGATGTTTGCGACGACGACGACGACGACGACCCCGGCGCCCTTCCTGAGGTGCGCTCTGGTTAAGAATTGTGAGGCAGATCCAGTCGTGATGACGAAAGCGCCCCCGTGGGCGAAAAAACTAGCAAAAACTCGCGAATGCCCTCGTCCTTCAACCTCGATCCTGGATCGGACGACGACGACGAAGACGACGACGAAGACGATGACGACGACGACGACGACGACGACGACGACGACGACGACGACGACGACGACGACGACGACGACGACGACGACGGCGACGGCGGCGGCGGCGGCGGCGGCGGCGGCGGCGGCGACCACGACCACGACCACGACCACGACACGCAGCAGCAGTAGCAGCAAGAGCCCAGGGCGGGCCTCGAAAGGCAGGCCGCGGTCCAGGCGGAGCCGGCGGAGCGTCAGGCCGCCTGGGGGAGGTGCGGTCGAGGATCGAGGATCGAGGCTGGTTTCTTTTGCGCAAGAGGTTTCTTTGGGACACGGATTGGCATCTCAGTGTTACGCGCCCACCGTGGAGGCGCACAACCGAAGCGAGCATTCAGCACAAGCATCTTGCAAGACACGGTTACCCGGACTTGACGGCCAGAAGGTGATCTTTCGCCGAACACAGACCAGAAGACTTCTGAACGTGCGCGCCGCCCCTGGGGAGGCGACGCACACATGGTATAAGTATGTTTGTGCGATGACAGTTTCACACTTTGGGGGCGGGGGCTTCGGGGTTTGTGCCATCAGAGACTGATCCTGGAGGAAACATCTGACAAGGGGGGGCCCTGGAGGGGCGCGGGGATCGAAGAGGGAAGTTGGTCGTCGTCGCCGAGGAGGATCGAAGATCGAAAAAAACACGGCGGATTGTTTTTTGGCCGTTTGGACTCTGCTCGGCGTCTGAGCTTACCGGGCCCAGTGACCGTCAATAATGACTCTGAATAAAAAGCAGGTCCCGTGGAAGGGGTTCGATCCTCTGGGGTTCCACCGCGACGTCGCCGTAGTCAAAGGATGAGGAGGAAGAGACCGGAAGAAAAAGAAGAAGAAAACGAAGAAAAATAAGAAGAAGTAGAAGACAAGGAGATGGTGGGGAGGTCGAGGAAGAGGGAGAATAAGGATGAGAGGAAGGACGAAGGGGAAGACGAGGGGAAGGAGGACGTGGAAGAGGACGCAGAAATAGGAGGATGAAAAGGAAGAGGAGGAGGAGGAGGCGGAGGGGGAGAGACGAGGAGGAAAGAGCATGAGGAGGGACGAGGAGGGAAAGGAGGGAGAACGAAAAAGAGGGGGGGAGAAGAAGGGAAGGACGAGGAGGAGGGATAATAAGGATGAGAGGAAGGAGGAAAGGGAAAACGAGAGTAGGAAGAGGAGGACGCAGGAATAGGAGGACAGGAAAGAGGATGATTCGAAGGAGAAAGACGAGGAGGAGAGAGCAGGAGGGCCGGGGAGGGAAAAGAGGGAGAACGAGGAGGGGGAGGGGAGGGGGGGGAGGGGGAGGAGGGGGATAAGGAGGATGACGAGCGGAAGAAGGAGGAGGAGGAGGAAGAGGAACAATTGAAGGAGGGGGAGGAGGAGGAGGAGGAGGAGGAGGAGGAGGAGGAGCAGGAAGAAGAGGAGGATTCGCCTGGAGCCGCCTGATTCGCAAACACGTGCACATACTAACCAACTCAATCGCTCTCACCGCTGCTGACATCGCACATACCCCGCTGCACATAGTCACCCGCCTCCGCCCTCAAGGCGGCAGCAACAGCTCTGAGAGCGCGTGCCTTATCCCCTTCACCACTGATGCAATTGGACGAAGCACGAGAAGGAGCAGCGGAGGCGGCGGCAGCACAAACGGGTGGATGTGCCTCCACAGCCAGCTGCACGAAGCTGGCCGACATGTTGTGGTCGTGCAACGCGGACCGAGACAAATATTGACCGCACGGGGGAGGCCCAGGATACGGCCGCCCCAAGGGGGGGCCCTATAGGACGGAAGCAAATTCGTCTTGATATACAAGCGAGGTTGTCCTGGCCCTTCATGGCGGGGCAGTTGTCACCTCACGCCACGCACTGAGACGACAACCTCCTGCCATCCGCGGTGGCAGTGAAGCCGCAGGCAGAACAAAACTTTAAACCGAGTTGTCTTTTTTCATCAAGTGCAGACGACGCATGCAACTTAACACTTCCGAGTCTGATGTCCAGAACTCGCGGAAGGGTAAACTCCAATAGTCCAAGGCTTCTCGGTGATAAATCTGTCGCCTGGAAGAGCACGCACCCCCAAGATCCTCCCTTGACGCCGCCAAGCCTTAGCATGACGCTTCGCCATCTTGACCCGCGAGAGCTTCCCCAACCAGCGCCCGCGCCCAGGTCGATCGCGGATGGAAACGAATTCAACGGGAATGCCAAGGGCCTGAAGCTGAGTCACGATCTCCCCGCCAATGGTGTCGGAAGAAGCAGTGAGTTCGGTTGAACCAGAAACTCCTAAACGATCAGCCTTGAAATATGCAGCCTTAGTCTTGCCGAGGTCCACCATATCAGACACCGCCCGCTGGCGTTTGCCTTCCATGCGCCCCACCGCGTGGTCGATTTATGTCCACGGGCCAGCAGGAAGAGCGGCTCGGTGAGCATGGCCCAAGATGCGGCGGGGCATCACTTTCGCAGACGGCACGCCATAGGGAAATCCAGCCACAATTGACCCGGAGATGGCAAGGTCGCGAGATATCATATTATTTCTCTTCAGCATACGGGGGGCCGCGCATAACTCCAGCTCCAGCGGCGATGGCAGCCGGAGAGCCACATCCTAAGGCAGGCTGCGTAAGCAGAACGAAAGTGGCCGCATCAATGCAATACATATATATATAGATATAACATCAGATCCCGCAAAATCGCCGCACTATCCAAGCCCAGGGGCCGAGAGCCCGCGTCGAGCACAGCCCGAGTGAGAGCAGCGCACAATGCCGAGGATCCAACAAAAGCAGCATCCCAAAGGCCTCCAAATCTCGAAACCATGCACAAGAATCCCTGGCTCTCAATTTGCCCCAGACCATAGGAATGGTGCCAAGCAGCCAGAGGGCGCGATCGCAGCGCGCCTCCTTGGGGATGGATGCGCCCAACGCGGCCAGCAAAGAGGCGGCCGCTTGCCAGTGCCCCCCACATTCTTCGAACGATTGACAGGGGCTCGGCGACCTGCGAGCGGCTGCCTCTGAACATCCTGCGGGCCCAAGTTGCCCGCGCCGCGGGTCTTCCTGGAGACCATCTTGGGACGCACCGCGTCCTGATCAGTAATCTGAAGGAGGGCCTGGGGAGCCTCCTGAGACACCTGGCAGCATCTGTCCACCATGCGCATAATACCAACAGGGGCATCGACACGGTCAGCCCAGAGGGACCTCCAGCCCAAACCACGCGAATCAACGAGCAACTGAGGGCCAGCAGTGGGCTGCCCTTCACGGCCCAGACCTTCCGCTTCAAAAGGAGCCGCATCCTTGACATGGCGATGAAAAAAACCCTGGGAGATTTGGACCGCGACATCTTGAACCATTTTCATGAATAAGAGCGAACCGTCATCATAGCGCGAGCAGCTGCCAAATCTGTCCACTGACGAGTCTGCTCCACCAGATCAGAAAGGTCAGCGCGTGGGACCAACTGCAGGTGAGAGACCAAACCCATCCAGGCATCAAGCGAGCCGACAATTTCAGACTGAGTCACTTCCTTGCCAAAATTATCTGGAAAACCACCATTTGCAGAACCTCCATCTTCGCGGCAAGCTCACTGGCGCACGCCCAAGCCTGCTTCGCACCAGACCCGTTCTTGACCAAGACCGCGTACCTGAACAACAGTGCTAACAATGCCCCACCACTCAGCCTGCGGGCCGCGCATGTGGGCGCACCCAGATGTGGACTTCATCTTGGCCCAGTTGAACAGAGGGCCGTCACCGCGTCCAGAATACTCGCGCCAGCGATCTTCAAGAACACCCTCGTGAAGGAGCGTGGCGGGCTCCAAAACCTTCACACAGAAGCTAGATTCGACTTCCATCTGTGCACCCTCACGCGGCCTCAATTGGGATACGAAATGATCTCTTGTAGCAAACGGGGTAATCCCACGCCGGCGAGAGTCAGCATCAGGCTTGACAACAGCCTGCACGGCATCAAAGACAACGTTGGGATCGGCGACGCCGTCGCCCACGCCAGGGTCTTGGTCCAAGCAGTTGAACTGGTCGGCTTCACTATCAAGCAGAGTGAAAACACGGGGTAGCTGTACAACTGCACTCGTCCAGCGCCCGCCTGCTGTCGCAATGTCTGGGCTTCGGCGAACCCGTGCAAGCATGAGCGTTCCCATCCCCTGCAAGCTCATGCTTCGCAGCAGCACGACTAGGAAGACATCGTGGGGCACCACCAGTCATAGTGGAAAAGCGGGGTAACTGCACACCTGCGCTCGTACAGCGTTGGCCTCCGCCCGCTGTAGCTGTGCTCTGGGCTTCGGTCCGCAAACTCGTACACACATGAGCCTCCCTTTTCACAGCAGAAGCATACCCGACAGCACCACGATGCTCCAGAACATGCCGGGCAATGACCGAGGGATGCCCCCAACCTCCTGGCATATTCGTTGAACCAGAGGGCCCGGCACAGGGCCCAGAAGCCGTCGTCGGCGAAGAAACATGCGAAGCCGAGGCCGAGCCATCCTCGTCGAGCACCTGGCCCCAAGCCTAAGCCCAGGTAGTCTCAGTGATATGAAAATCAGCAACCGGGGCATGCGAGGGGGACTGCGTCACTGGCTCCACCAGCTCCTCGCACGGCTGTGCCATGTCAGCCTCCATATTCTGAACACGTCGCGCGCGTCGAGCCGCCTTGGCCCTGGAGCGCTTGCGGTTAGGATCAGGCACAACCCGAAGCCGAGCAGGAACAGACAACGAAGCGGGGAGTTGGAGGCGACGATACCGAACCTCCTCACGCGAGTCCTGTATACACACCTTCACATCACTGTGCGTCGCCCATGGGACATCCAATACAGGCAACAAAGAAGCCGCATGGAAGCAACTGCTGACCACCGCGTAGTCGTACATGCGTCCTTTTCGCAAGTAACAGCACAGTCAGGCGTGCAGATACGTCCTCTGAGCTGGCGGATCCATCCTGAAGCTTCGAAGGCAGGCGGCTCGACGTTCCAGTCAGAAAGCACGATCCACGGGTCGGCGAGCGTCCTGGTGAAGGCACCCAAAGTAACGAGCATCGCTTGGTTCCACCCTCTAACTCCCAAGCCAAGATGGAAATACATAGACATGATAACAATAGTGTCAACTCTGGTGTGGAGCACCAAAGGGCAGAACCCCTTGCATGGATCCTGCCGCCCCATGGGTTTGGCAGTGCCACGAACAGATTGGAAGGATGTGGCTGAAATGTCCTTCCTCGTGTGCACCCACTCCCCTCCTGAAAACCATGGAGTAGATGTGCCCGAATGGTGAGCTGCCGTGGCCGACATGTGCAAGTCATCCCTGTCGAGCTGGACGCCCAGGCCAGGAAGGTAGGCACCTCCCTTGTGGGTCTCGCAAAGCATGACAACAGGCCAGTCATCAAACCGATTGGTGAGGTATCGTGAAGCCTGAAGGCCCCACTCTGTGATGCTGCTGAGTCGTCCCCGCCTGAGTCCTTGGACTGGTACTCGTCACCGCCCCAGGTGAGAAAGTCAAACACGCTGTCCTCCTGCAGCTGGTGCTTTTGCGGCTGCAGCAGGGCCTGTGGGAACGGCTGCAGTTGCTGCAGCACCAGGAGCCCGACCATCGGCCATGCGGGCCGCATCCTCTGCGGAGCAACCGATCTGCTCGACGGCCTGCGCAGCCTCCGAGGAGGAGGAAGAGGAAAATAGGCGTCGGGCATGTTTGAGGGGTGCCGTCGAGGAATGAGGGTCGAGGATCGAGGTTCGAGGATCGAGGATCAAGAAACGAGGTCCAGAAAGGAGAAGGCGGAGCGTCAGACCGCCTGGGGAGGGCCCTCTAGCATCGAGGATCGAGGATCGAGGATCGCAACGTCTTCGTTTCAGAAGATTTAAGAGTCTCATACAGGCTCTCGTCGCCAAGGATGGTTGCAGCTGGAAGAACTGGCCAGGATGGACCGCCAGGGAACGATCCAGGATGAAAACCAGGTTTCTGGGAGAGGGCCGGGGGAACTGGAGCGCACGGATGAAAAACAAGGCATGGTTCTTCTTCAAAGGAGCGGCTCCTGCGTGGAGTGTTGAAACAAGGCATGCAGGGACTTGTGAGGAGGGGCCTTGAGACGGGCCCCCTCTTCGCTCCTCCCTCCTCCTCCTCCTCCTCCTCCTCCTCCTCCTTCTCCTCCTCCTCCTCCTCCTCCTCCTCCTCCTCCTCCTCCTCCTCTTTCTCCTCCTCCTCCTCATCATCCTCCTGCCTGGTGCCAGACAGGGAACGCCCCTGCTAATGGAACCCTAAACCGCCTTGTCCCGTTGGGCCATCTAGGTCCTCCTAAGCAGGTCCTCTAACGAAACCTGCGAACACAGTACCACAAAAGAGCCTAGATTTGGATGCCCGAAATGGGTACGGAAAGAGTGGGTACAATGCCCAACAGCAAATGTTGCCCCAAGCCAACAGCGGCCCCTGTTGGGCAGGCGGCCTTCTGTCTCGAATGGGCACAGGCCGCGGCGGCGTGGACAGCGAATCGTGTTCAAAATGAACAGGAACTGCTGTTGGGCATTGTACCCATTCTTTCGGTACCCATTTCGGGCGTCCAGACTAGATGCTCTACGGGCCAATGTTCTTGCTTGCTCGGAGTCGTTCCCAACCGTCTTTGTCCTGTGTCCTCCTCCTCCTTCTCCTCCTCCTCCTCCTCCTCCTGCTCCTCCCTCCTCCTCCTCCTCCTCCTCCTCCTCCTCCTCCTCCTCCTCCTCCTCCTCCTCCTCCTCCTCCTCCTCCTCCTCCTCTCCTCCTCCTCCTCCTCCTCCTCCTCATCCACCTCCTCCTCCTCCTCGTCCTCCTCCTCCTCCTTATCCTCATCACCCTCCTCATCCTCCTCCTCCTCCTTGTCCTCCTCCTCCTCGTCCTCACCACCACCACCACCACCATCACCATCACCATCACCATCACCATCACCAACACCACCTCCACCACCATCACCACCACCACCCTCACCACCCTCACCACCACCCTCACCCCCGTCATCGCCACCGCCATCGCCACCGTCAGCCGTCCGCCACTCGCGATGCGCAGTCTGGGCTTCAGGCGACCAGCCCGCGGGGGCAACCAGGCTCCGTCCGACCCCGCCCCGGCCGCCGCCTGCCCCGTCGGCGAGCGGCCTCGCGTCGACTTCGTCGATGGACCGCAGCCGCCCCCACCTCGCGAGGGGCGCGGGCGGGGCACGCCCGCACCTCCTCCTCCCCCTCCCTCCTCCTCCTCCTCCTCCTCCTCCTCCTCCTCCTCCTCCTCCTCCTCCTCCTCCTCCTCATCCTCCTCCCTCCTCCTCCTCCTCCTCCTCCTCCTCCTCCTCCTCCTCCTTCTCCTCCTCTCCTCCTCCTCCTCCTCCTCCTCCTCCTCCTCCTCCTCCTCCTCCTCCTCTTCCTCCTCTTCCTCCTCCTCCTCCTCCTCCTCCTCCTCCTCCTCCTGCCTGTTCCTCCTCCTCCTCCTCCTCCTCCTCCTCCTCGTCCTTCCTCCTCCCGAGCCCTGGCTCGGGCCAGCAGCTAGGGCCCCGGGAGCCGCGGAGCGCGCGGGCAGGCTCAGGGCCTGGAGCAGGCCTCCGGGCCTCTGGGGGGCCTCCTGTGGAGGAACAACAACGAAGGGGCCCAAGCACACACAAATAAGAACACACACAAATCCCAGGATTCCCCAGATTGTCCCAGGTTTTAAGGGTTTTCGTCTTCCCCCCCACTTACCATAGTTTCCCATGCTTTCCTGGGAATGGACGATTCGTTGTGTCTGTGTGTGTTTCCCCTCCTGGAAAAAACTATGCACATACACTGATTGGACTGTGGCCAGGTCCATCCTGAGCCAAGGATCGGTGCATACGCCCTTCTGCCCTGGCCAGAAGCGCATATGTGCACCGATCCGTGGGCCAAGGATGGGCCTGGCCAGGATCGGTGCATGTGCACAGTTCTCTCCACCCGATCCTGGATCCGCTCTTGCTGGTCCCGCGACCCGATACGGCCGGACCTAGGACAGAAGAGCATCCTCCAAGGGTACGAGGCCCTCCGCGGGCCATGACACCCCGAACCATGAGATCACTCGAGGGAGCCCTCCCCCAGGATGTACGAGATCATCCAACAGAAACGAAGGACATCAGAGGAACTACCCTCCCCGAACCGACCTCGATCTTATACCTCGGTCCGACTGCACGGTAGGTTCGCGTCGCGATGACGTCGGCAGTGGTCTCTGACACCGCGCGGATCGCTCAACCTCCTCCTCCTCCTCCTCCTCCTCCTCCTCCTCCTCCTACTCCTCCTGCTCCTCCTCCTCCTCCTCCTCCTCCTCCTCCTCCTCCTCCTCCTCCTCCTCTTCCTCCTGGTCCTCCTCCTCCTCCTCTCCTGCTCCTCTTCCCCCTGGTTCTCCTCCTCCTCCTCCTCCTCCTCCTCCTCCTCCTCCTCCTCCTCCTCCTCCTCCTCCTCCTCCTCCTCCTCCTCCTCCTCCTCCTCCTCCTCCTCCTCCTCCTCCTCCTCCTCCTCCTCTCCTCCTCCTCCTCCTCCTCCTCCACTCCTCCTCCTCCTGCTCCTCCTGTCCTCCTCCTCCTCCTCCTCCTCGTCTCCTCCTCCTCCTGCTCCTGCTGCTCCTCCTCCTCCTCCCTCCTCCTCCTCCTCTCCTCCCTCCTCCTCCTCTCCTCCTCCTCCTCCTCCTCCTCCTCCTCCTCCTCCTCCTCCTCCTCCTCCTCCTCCTCCTCCTCCTCCTCCTCCTCCTCTTCCTCCTCCCCCAGTGGCCGATTCCGCGCCATTGGCGGCATTCTACCTGGAACGCCGGCTGCGGAATCGCAGCCGCATCAACGCGGCGAAAACCTGCGGTCAAGAAGCCCTGGAGGCCCGAGGCGAGGAAGAACGCCCAGATCGGAGAGACCAGGTCGTCCGAGGTCTGAGGAATCGGGGAGCACAGAGTGCTTTTCCAGCAGAGGTGGCCTCAGAGAGCGCGCTGTGCCGGGTGCCAGAGAGCCAAGCCCAAAGGTCCCCGCAGACCCCTGGACCCTGGGATCTGAGGGTTGCGATTTTTGTCGCACGGGGTTCGCCCGGTTCGGGCCACTGGACCATCGATCCGACTCAGAAAGTACTGCAGAAAGATTGGGTCTAGGATTCTGGTCGTGATTTGCATGGTGCTGCAATTTTTCACAACGTCGGATCTCAGGGGGCGTCCTCGCGTCGTGAAACACATCACGACGGAGAGTTTGGGGCAGTTTTCGGCCTTCGGGAGCCCTAACCAAGCCCTGGAGGCGTGGCTGCCAAACTCAGGGTGGAAAAACGGCCCCCCCTGGAAGAGGGTCAGACCTCCCGGGCGCCACGATATGGAAAAAAACACGGCGTCAGGCGTCTGAGTTCCTCGCAGGCCCGAAAAGAACCGAACCTTTCAAAAACATGGATCCCTGGCATCCGCCGACATGCTGTTTTCAATGCGCGGCCCCCACGAAAGTTCCGACCCCTACCCCAGGGCCAATTGTTCGCCTCAGATTCATATTGATTGTCCTGGGGCCCCCTGATAACGAGCATATCGTCGGAAATCGGGGTGCCTGAGCCAGGATTGACCTGGCCAAGGCCGGTGTGGGTGGCTGGCTGGCGTGTCTCCCGACGCCCTGCCCCCCGTTTCCTTGTATCTGCGCCGAGCCCCCTCTCCCTGGCGCGCGCCGCCAGGGGGCTCCAGCGCAGATGCAGGAAATCCGCACAGAGCTCCGAAAGCCTACAGTGGAGGTCAGTCCACAAGAAACCTTCCACAAGAAACCCAACCCTGAGACCCCAGGACGTCAATTGATTTTTGGCGTGGGAAACGTCACGCTCTCCATCGCAAAACCACCGCAACCCAAGAAACCCAGGGCACGCTGGAGGCAACCAGGGTGTTTCTTGGCATGGGTCTCCACTGCATCCTCCAAGGATTGGCCTGGCCAAGGCCGGTATCGACAGATTCGCAAGACACTTCGCAACCATGAGTGGCATCTGTTGCGTCGCTCGCAAGACGCGGTGCCAGGTACCGGCAGGCACGGCATCACAGCAAGCATTGCGGAGTCCACCCGGCCAGGCTCAAGATTTGGCGTTGGAAGTCGCAATTACCAATGTTCATGCAGAGGCCGACTGCGAGGACCCAATCCGCAATGTTCGGTGGATGACGCTCGCTCAAGACAGCCGGCTGGCGAAGCGGCTGTCTGGCGCGTCTCCCAGCCACCTGCCGCCGCGGTTGAGGGACACCACGCCCTGGTCGAAGGTGCCGTCCTCCCGAGGCCGCGCGGGGGCTCCAGGGTGCAGCCAGGGGGCCTCCCAGGACCCAGGAGAGGGGAGGAGGGAGGAGCGAGGAGGAGGAAGGGGGGAGGGGGACGAGGAGGACGAGGAGAAGGGGGAGGAGGAAGAGGAGGAGGAGGAGGAGAAGAAGGAGGAGGAGGAGGAGGAGGAGGAGGAGGAGGAGAAGGAGGAGGAGGAGGAGGAGGAGGAGTGTGAGGAGGGCGAAGAGGAATGCCTCCTTTCGATGCAGGAAGCACCCTCTTGGAAGAAGAACCATGCCTTGTTTTCCATCCGTGCGCTCCACATCCCTCGGAAGAGGAGCAGGAAGAGGAGGAGGAGGAGGAGGAGGAGGAGGAGGAGGGGAAAGGGGAGGAGGAGGAGGAGGAGGGAAAGAGGAGGAGGAGGAGTGGAACAGGAGGAGGCGAGGGGGAAACGATGAGGAGAGGAGGATCTCTCTCTCTCTCTCTCTCTCTCTCTCTCTGGAGATCGCGGGCACCAGGCCTGACCCCTCTGGGAGGGGCGGGTGCCCAGGGGGGGCGGAGAGGACCTCACCTGCGCGTGCGAGCTCCGCCCTCGGGCCTTCGGAGGGGAGAGGAGAGGAGTTGAAGGAATGGAGAGTAGAGTAGAGTAGAGGAGAGGAGAGGAGAGGAGAGGAGAGGAGAGCAGAGGAGAGGAAAGGAGAGGAGAGGAGAGGAGAGGGGAAGAGCGAGGAGAGAGGAGGGCAGAGGAGAGGAGAGGAGAGGAGAGGAGAGGAGAGGAGAGGAGAGGAGAGGAGAGGAGAGGAGAGGAGAGGAGAGGAGAGGAGAGGAGAGGAAGGGGGAGCAGAGTCGCCCGAAGGCGGAATGACAGAAGCCGGCCAGCGGGCATCAGCAGGGGACAAGAACGGCGATTCTCCAAGCTGGCAGCGGCGGTGGCCACAGCGTACCACGTGACGTGACTGGGCCATATACGAGACGACCATCGCCCGATCGAGGGCGAAGAACAAGCAAACCATCAACATAGATCCGAGATCAGCAGTGAGAATTGCGCCACGAGAGGCCTCAATCGCACATAACGTGTGGTGAAGGCTGTGGGCAAACTCAGCCTACAACTCCGAAGAGCAGAGACGAGAGACTCCGCCAGCCCTGGAAGACGATGAGGAACGAGGGAGCATGGCAGGGCAGCCCTTGGCAATGAGCGCGATGCCCCAGTCCAGCCCGCCCTCAATCACATTTGCCTCATCAAGCGTGGCCCCCCGGCATGGCGCCCAGCAAGTGGCCTCCTCGTCGTCCTTGGTCCAGCCCCATCCCTTGAACTGGGCGCCTTTGGACGGTACCCCCAGTATGCGAACTTGCTGCCAGATGCACCAGCCCTTCTGCCTGCAGAGGCGGTCCTCGAAGGCTTACTATCCACAACCTCCGCGGACCTCGCACCTGCCCCGCCGACCGTCATGACGCCCCATCGCGAAGGAAGCCCAAGTGTGGTCGAGGAGCAAAGACAGGGGAACTCTGCACAGACCAACGCAGTCCATTATGCCTGGCGGCTGATCAGCCCCAGGAACACACCTCGAGCCAAAATGGCTACGGAGGAGGAGGGGAGAGGATGAGGGCCACGATGAGGACAAGGAGGAGGAGGAGGAGGAGGAGGAGAAGGGGAGAACGGAGGAGCGAAATGAGGAGGTGGTGGAGCCTTTGGGGGACGCGCACAAGGCACTTCGCAGCACTGATGGCCCCTAACAGAAATATCGAAGCAGCGGGATCGATGGGAGTACTTCTCTCCCCATCGACGCTGCCTTCGGCACCTTGCCAGCCCGGGCCTGGCGCCGCTGACGCCCGACACAGCAGCCGCGCTGCAGGGCCTGCTCCGACCCCGCGGCGCCCCCGCCCTCGAGCCCCCAGCGCGAGGGGGAGGGGGGGGGAGGGAGGGGGAGGGGAGGGAGGAGGACGGCCGGAGCTGCCCGCCGCCTCGCCTCTCTCCCACTCCGAGCTGCGGAAGGCGCTGAGAAGAAGCCCGAAAGGGGGCGGCGCTGCAGTGGGCGGCGGCCGCTTCGAACACCGGCGGGTGGTGCTGGCCGAGCCCGCCGCCTTGGAGGCCCTCTGCAACCTCTGCGACCGCCTCGCCACGGGGGACCTGCCCGCCAGCGCGGCAGACGCCCTGGCACTCTCCAAGCTGACGCCGCTACGCAAGCCCGGAGGCGGCGTGCGCCCTATTGCTGCCCCCAACGTCCTGCGCCGCCTGGTGGGGAGGGCACTAGTGGCGCCGAGAAAGGAAGCGCTGGCGGCCGCGCTGGGAAGGCAGCAATTCGCAATTGGAACAAAGGCAGGCGCAGAGCTACTGGCACACACCGCGCGGGCGCTCTCGGAGGCCAACCCGGACTTGGTCCTGGTGGCCCTCGACGCGAAAAACGCCTACGGCACGGTGAGCCGCGAGAGCTGTCTGAGCGAACTCGGGGCCACTGCGCCAGAGCTGCTCCCTTTTGCGAACTTGTTTTGCCGCCGGCACTCGCAGTACTACTTTTGGGACGGCGGAGGCAAGTGTCACCGCTTGCTCTCGGCGGACGGCGTTGACCAAGGAGACCCCCTGACGCCGCTCCTTTTCGCCTCTGGGGCCCGGCCTGGCCTCCGAGAACTGCAGCGGGCCCTACGGGGGACGGCGGCCGCCCGAGGGCTCAACGCCGACGACGTCCACGTTCTGGCCTACCTCGACGACGTAATCGTGCTCGCGCCCGCCGCCGTGGCCGGAGAGGTCCAGGCGCTTGCACAGGCTTCTCTGGGGGGGCTCGGGCTCGAACTCCAGCCGCAGAAAACGCAGGCCTGGTCCGCGCGGGCGCCTTGCCCGCCAGAGCTGCAGGCGAGCTGGCGCCAGGAAGGCCTGACGCTGCTTGGCGTGCCGCTAGGCGAGCCGCTCCCGCCGGGCGGCATGCCGGACGAGCGCGACGGGCGGCGCCTGGACTTGGGTGGCGCTGGCTTCGCGGCGGCACGCTGCGCGGAAACGGCGGAAAGGGCGGCCGCGCTGCTGCGGAGGCTGGCCGAGCTGCCCGCGCTGGCCTCGCCGCACCTCCCGGCGACGAAGGCGGCGGCGCTTTTGCTCCGGGTCTGCGGCGCGGGCAAGCTCACCCACCTCCTGCGCTCCAACCCGCCGGCCGACATCCGGGCCGCTGCTGCAGCCTACGACGACGCCCTGCTGGAGACCTACCAGGAGCTCACGCACCTCGACCCCTTGCAGGAGGAGCAGCGGGCGCAGTGCCGCCTCCCGCTGCGGCTCGGCGGCCGGGGCCTCCGGAGCCAGGCCGCGCTGGCGCCGGCCGCTTGGGCGGCTTCTTGGGCGCAGAACCTGGCCGGGGCCCGGGCGCGGACTGGCCTGCCGGAACTGGCCGACTTGGAAACCTCCCCCCTGCCTCTGGCAGCCGCTTGCCGTGGGGCGCTGGCCGAGCTGCTGCCGGACGAGGAGGAGAGACGCACGCGGCTGCGGCCCTGGGGGCAGCTAGCACACGATCCTCTCCCGAAGTTCCAACGGGCACTCACGCAAAGGCTGGAAAAAAAAAACACTACGACGCCTTGCTGAGCACCCTGGGAGCGGAGGGGAGGGCACTGCTGCGCTCCTGCGGAGGGCCCCACGCGGCAGGCTGGCAACTGGCCAACGGCGGCCCGCGGCAAAGGCTCGACGACGCCGACTACTGCGCCACCTCGCGAGCCTTGCTTGGGCAGGACAGCGCGCCGGCCGGGGCCTGCTGCAGCAACCGCCGCAGGACCGGCGAGAGGGCAGGGCAGCTCTGCGGCCAGCCACTCTGCCCCAAGGCCCGTCACGCTTTCCGCTGCTCCTGCGGAGGGGGGCTGAAGGCACGGAGCCGCGATGTGGAGGACATCTGGGAGCACATCCTCTCAGAATGCGGCTTCCGGGTCGGGCGACAGGTGCCCGTGCCTGCCTGGGACAGGTGGAACTGGCGCTGCCGCGACGCAGCCTGCGCCGCCCGCGGCGCCGCTGACGCCCCACCGCCCGGGCCTTGCGCTACCTGCGGGGCCGAGCTTGCGAAGGAGCGCGAGGAAGCTTTCTTGGACCTGGAGGCAAAGCGGGGCGACTGCCCGCGGCTGTATGCGGACGTTACCGTCCGGTACAGCGTGCCTGGAGACGCGCGGGCCCTGGCGGCGGCCGCAGAGGGCGACGGCGCCGTCAACGCCCAAGCGGAGGCGGACAAACGGCGCCGCTACCCCGGGCACAGGGCGCCCTGGCCCGCCCTCCCGCTTGCGCTGGAGACAGGCGGGCGCCACGGGAAGGCTGCGCTTCGCCTCCTGCGCTGGCTCGCCCGGGACCAGGCGCAGCAGCTCGGCGAAGGCCCGGCGGCGGAGGCGGCGGCCAGCGCGCTGACGGCGCGGTGGGGCGCGGAGCTCAGAGGCGCCCTTCAACGCGCGACTGCCCGGCAGCTGCGGTCATCCCTTGGGTTCGACCGCAGGGAGGCCGCGGCCGGGCTGGCCGCGGGGCTCGCCGGCTAGGCCGGCTGGGCACCGCCGGGTGCGCGCTGGGCAGCTCTGGGGCGGTCCGCAGGCGCGGAGGAGGAGGTCTACTGGGTCGTCGTGGTCCCCTACATCTTCACCCAGGCGCTGGGCATGTTCAGAGGGTGGCTTGCGTTGACTTTTCTACATTGCACGAGAAGGGGAGAACGGATGAGCGAAATGAGGAGGTGGTGGAGCCTTTGGGGGACGCACGCAAGGCACTTCGCAGCACTGATGGCCCCTAACAGAAATATCGAAGCAGCGGGATCGATGGGAGTACTTCTCTCCCCATCGACGCGCTGCCTTCGGCACCTTCCGCCCTTCATCGGGAAAGGGGAGGAGCACGGGAAGGAGGACAAGGAGCAGGAGGAACTAGGACGGGAAAGGGGAGAAGGATCGTCGCCCGCAGGCGACGATCCTCCTCCGATCCGCGTCATTCCAATCCGCCTCCTTCCGATCCGACGCCGGTGAGGCTGGTCTGGGCTCCTTCCGATCCGCGTCCTCCAGCTCCTTGATCCTGAAGGCGAGCGCGTCAAAGAGGCTCCTGGGTCGGCAGAGCTGGGGCCATCGTCCTCTCCATGGTCCCTCTCCTCAATCTCCGGGTCCCTTCCATTCCTCACTTCCACCTCGTCCACCACCACCACCATCACCTCCTCCTTCTGCCTTTATCATTATACTTTAGTCCTCCTCCTCCTCCTCCTCCTCCTCCTCTTCCTCCTCCTCCTGAGCATAATCATTATCATCACCATCATCATCATCAGCAGCAGCATCAGCAGCATCAACATCATCATCATCATCATCATCATCATCACCACCATCATCAGCAGCAGCATCATCATCACCATCATCATCAGCAGCATCAGCATCAGCATCATCGTCCTCCTCCTCCTCCTCCTCCTCATCATCATTGGCGGCATCACCACCACCACCATCATCATCATCATCATCATCATCATCATCATCATAATCATCATCATCATCATCCTCATCATCATGGTCATCATAATAATCACCCTCATCTTCATCCTCATCCTAATCATCATAATCATCATCATCTTCATCATCACCATCATCATCATCATCATCATCATCATCATCATCATCATCATCATCATCATCATCATCATCATCATCATGGTCATCATCATCAGCAATATCATCTTCATCCTCAT